ATATAATTGTTCATAGTAGTTTCTGACGGTCCTTTGTATTTCTGTGGTATCAGTTGCTATTTCTCCTCTTTTCTTTCTGATATTATTAATTTGGGTCTTCTCCCTTTTATTCTTGATGAGTCTGCTTAGAGGCTTGCCAATTTTATTTATCTTTTCAGAGAACCAGTTCCTGGATTGGTTGATCCTTTGAATTGTTCTTTTCATCTCTATGTCATTTAGTTCTGCTCTAATCTTAATTAATTCCTTCCTTCTACTTGCTCTGGGATTCATTTGTTGTTGTTTCTCCAGTTCTTGAAGTTATAGTGTTAGGTCTTTTATTTGAAATGTGTCTATCTTTTTTAGGTAAGCCTGTGTTGCTATGAACTTCCCTCTCAGGACGGCCTTTGCTGTGTCCCATAGGTTTTGGATTGTTGTATGTTCATTTGAACTTGTTTCCAGGAATTTTTTGATTTCTTCTCTTATCTAATTATTGACCCATTCATTGTTTAATAGTGTACTGTTCAGTCTCCATGAGTTTGCAAGTTTTTGAAGTTTCTCTTTGAGGTTGATTTCCAGTTTCAAGCCCTTGTGGTCCAAGAAAAAGTTTGGTATTATTTCAATTTTCCTGAATTTGGTGAGGTTTGCTTTGTGTCCTATCATGTGGTCTATCTTTGAAAAACTTCCATGAGCATTTGAAAAGACTGTGTATTTTGCTTCTTTGGGATGTACGGTTCTATATATGTCAGTTAAGTCTGTTTGATTCAATGAAACATTCAGCTCTACAATATCCTTATTGATGTTTTGTTTGGAAGATCTGTCCATTTTTGACAGTGGGGTATTGAAATCCCCTACTATCAGTGTGTTGCTGTCTATATCTCTTTTAAAGTCACACAAGATTTTCCTTATATATTTGAGTACTCTTATATTGGGGGCATATAAGTTTACAATGTTTATGTTTTCTAGATAGATACTTCCTTTAAGTATTATAAATGGATCCTCTAGGTCTCTTTGTATGGCCTGTGTGTGTTTTATTTTATTTTATTTTAATTTATTTTGTCAAATACATTTGTCTCTGCCTCCCTCCCACCACTTTCCCTTGCCCCCTCCCTTCTTCCCTCCCTCAGCTCTTCCCCTTTGGTTTTGTTCATGAGTCCTTGCTATATGTTTCTTGACTTTCCCCTTCCCTTCCCTTTCCCTGCCCCCCCTTCCATCTTGTCTCTGTTGATTTATTTTCCTTTCAGTGTTGCTGGTCTTATTTTCCTTGCATCTTTGTATTGTTGGTTAGATTCCGCTTATAGGTGAGATCATATGGTATTTGCCTTTGCCTCTTGGCTTATTTCACTTAGCATAATGCTCTCCAGTTTGTTTTGAAATCTATTTTGTCTGATATAAGTACTGCAACGCCTGCTTTTTTCTCTTGCTCATTTGCTTGGAATATTTTGTTCCATCCCTTTACTTTCAATCTGTGTAGGTCTTTTGCGCTAAGGTGGGTTTCTTGTAGGCAGCATATGTGTGGGTCATGTTTTCTTATCCATTCAGCTATCCTGTGTCTTCTGATATAGCAACAAGAAAAATAAAGTACCTATGAATAAATTTAACCAAGGAGGTAAAAGACTTGTATGCAGAAAACTATGCAACATTGAAAAATGAAATTAAGGAAGACACAATTCAATGGAAGCATATACTGTGCTCATGGACTGGAGGAATTAATATCATCAAAATGTCCATAGTACCCAAAGCAATTTATAGATTCAAAGCAATCCCTATTAAGATACCAATGACGTATTTCACAGAAATAGAACAGACATTTCAAAAATTTATATGGAACAATAAACGACCTCGAATCACCGCAGCAATTTTTAGAAAGAAAAACAAAGTAGGTGGGATCACAATATCAGGCATAAAATTATACTACAAAGCCACTATGCTCAAAACAATGTGGTACTGGCCCTAGAACGGACCCATAGACCAGTGGAACAGAAGAGAAAGCCCAGAAATAAGCCCAGGTCTATATGGATAACTAGTATTTGACAATGGGGGCAGAAGTAAAAAATTAGAGCAATAATAGCCTCTTCAACAAATGCTGTTGGGAGAGCTGGCCGGCTACATGGAAAAAATTGAAATTGGATCATCAGCTGACACCATACACAGAAATAAACTCAAGATGGATAAAAGACTTAAATAGAAGTCGCAACACCATCAAAGTCCTACAGGAGAACATTGGCAGAAAACTCTCAGATAACCCACACAGCAATTTTTTCACTGATATGTCTCCTAAAGCAAGGGACATAAAGGAAAGAATAAACAAGTGGGACCTCATCAAAATAAGAAGCTTCTGCATGGCTAAGAAAAACATCAGCAAAATGAAAAGGGAGCCAACTCTATGGGAAAATATATTTCCTAATGTTACATCAGATAGAGGTTTGATCTCCAAGATATATAAAGAACTCACACAATTTCACTCCAAGGAAGACAAATGATCGAATCAAAAAAATGGGGAAAGGACCTGGGCAGATGCTTTTCCAAGGAGGAGATACAGAGGGCCCAGAGGCATTTGAAAGGATGCTCAGCATCACTAGCCATCAGACAAATGCAGATCAAAACCACCATGAGGTACCACCTCACACCAGTCAGAATGGCCATCATAAACAGATCCACAAACAACAGGTGCTGGCGAGGTTGTGGAGAAAAGCGAACTCTAGTATACCGTTGGAGGGAATGCATACTAGTGCAGCCATTGTGGAAAGAAGTGTGGAATTTCCTCAAAAAGCTGAAAATGGAACTGCCTTTTGATCCAGTGATTCCCCTGCTGGGACTATACCCTTAGAATCGCAAAACGCCAATACAAAAGAAGCTATGCACCCCAATGTTCATAGCAGCACAATTTACAATAGCCAAGTGTTGGAAGCAACCTAAATGCCCCTCAGTAGAAGATTGGATAAAAAAATTATGGTACATTTATACAGTGGAATACTACGCAGCAGAAAGAAAAAAAGAACTACTAAACTTCACAACAGCATGGATGGAAGTGGAGAGCATTATGCTAAGTGAAATAAGCCAGGGGGCAAAAGACAAATATCATATGATCTCACCTATAAGTGGGTCCTAACCAACAATATAAAGATGCAAGTAAAATAAGACCAGCATGACTGAAAGGAAAGGAAACTAACAGAGACAAGATGGAAGGATGGGGGAGGGGTGGGGGGGAAGGAAGTGAAAGGGCAAGTCAAGGAACATATAGCAAGGTCTCATGGACAAAACCAAAGGGGAAGGGTTGAGGGATGGAAGGGGGAGAGGGCAAGGGAAAGTGTTAGAAGGAAGGCAGAGACAAATGTATTTGAATAAAATAATTAATTAAAAAAGCAGTTTCAGATTTATCCTCTTATGAAAATTCTTATACTGACTATAAAGACCTAGTGATAAAATTATTTCACATTCTTCTCCTTCTCAGTGTGCACCCTTTCATTCACCACCTCCTGAATCAGGTCATATTCCCATTTACCTCACTAGAATCTTGATGGATGGGTTCATTGTTTTTTATTTAATCTAATTTTTAGTGATTTATTAATATACATGTATCAATTACTATTTTATAAAAATTAAGTATGAGGGTCTGGCAAATAATGCACAGCAGTCAAACCACTGAAAATTTATGAAAATATTGTAATCTGAAGAAATTGTAAAGGCTCACATATAGCACAGGAAAGAGGTCTAAAACAGTACAGTGTATGCAGAAACATAGCTACCTACATATACATCGTGAGTTTAGAGGACACCGCATTTCTCAATGCAAACATTTTATTCCTCGGTACTAAAGTTTTAAACTAGGGAAACTCATCCAAGCACAAAGTTTTTCCCCAAATCAAAAAAAACAAAGTTTTGTCACTTTGAAAATTTCCTTGAGACCTTTGGTGTGCTACCTCTTTCCTCCAGGGTTTTGTTTTTGTTTTTGTTTTGCATATCACTGGCCACTTGTTTCTTTCCTCAATATTTTTATTTGGACTTGACACTTGGTCTTAGATATGATTACTATAAAGTATCTTCCTGTATTTCTGAATAGTTTAGCTTCCTTACATTGCCTGGTTCTTCTTAATCTTACATTAAAAAAGGTTAAGAATGTTGACTATTAAAATGGCTTATTGTCTTCTAACTTACGGTCTGAATTACATAACAGAGTTCAATTACCAAGAACTAGTAGCCCCAATGTGCTAAGGTAAACAATGGAAAAAATTATAGATATGATGATTTATGAGGAGGGTAGGAGCAATATCACAAATGCTCAGGGTTAGTGATAATGGTGAATTCTCCCCAAATGCTGAGAAGCTACTTTGCATATGTCTGTTTCCAGTATTTCATTTTCAAAAATTCTCCAGATTGCGACTTTCCATGATTTTGTTTTTCAGCTGTTTCATGCTTATTTATTGATACACTGAAAGTTTATATATGGAAGCTTGTATTTTAAGAGTAACTTTACCATGTACACATCATCATATGCAACAATTGTCAGACACTATGCATAACCTGGGTGACAGTCATCAGTCTCTGGCTTAATAAAAATATTTGCATAGTTGTGACTACATTAGAGGCTTCTGAGAAATGAAAGGATGTGCTGAAGGAGACATCCTTACTAAAGGTGAAAAGCATGCAATTTGAATTTCAGCAGAAACATAGTCTGACACACAATATCAAAGTCAAAAACTGCCTTTAGGAAACTTCCTTTGAGATGCCTGAGTTCTTAGGAAAGGACCTGATGTATTAATTTGCATTATCTTCAAATTATGGAAATTAAATTAAACTATAAAAAGAAGCATCTTTAATTTTCTCACCATCCACAAGAGAGAAAAATGAAATTGGCCATTAGATGGCTCCTGTTCTTTCCTCTATCTCTCTAAACTTGTACTGCAGGGTAACTTCCAATCCTGACTTCCTCAAACCTCTTACACACCACTGCCTCTTTACTCTGAAGTAAATTCTTTTTTTGATGAGAGAGCATCTCAAATACAGTCCCTGAACTGGCCCTAATGCTGCTGAGGCTCTTGCTGTTGATCTGTGGTAAGTAGGACAACTCAGAACAGAGTATGGGATTCCATAATGGGGCTCTGACTCCTGAAGAGCTGTGAGACCTCTAAGGAGTAATTTTCTACTTGGCAATGTTCAGGACTGCTCTGCTCTCTACTTTCAACTGAGGGCTCAGAGTTAGACAGAAAGTGGTAGATACAGGAAAACCAGATTTTTTAATTTTTTAAAAATTTTGTTTCTTTTTATTCTCCGCCTTCCCACCACCACTTTCCCATGCCCCCTCCCCTATCTTCCCTCCCTCAATCCTTCCCCACTTTGGCTTTGTCCATGAGTCCTCGATATATGTTCCTTGATTTGACCCTTCCCTTCCCTTTCCCTGCCCACCCTGCCCTCCTTTTCTCTTGTCTCTGTTGGTTCCTTTTTTCTTTCAATGCTGCTGGCCATATTTTCCTTTCTTGTTTGTTTTGGAGCTTAGGTTCCACATATAGGTGAGATCATATGGTATTTGTCTTTCGCCCCCAGCTTATTTCGCTTAGCATAATGCTCTCCACTTCCATCCATGCTGTCGTGAAGTGTAGTAGTTCTTTTTTTCTTTCTACTGTGTAGTATTCCATTGTATAAATGTACCATAATTTTCTATCCAATCATCTACTGATGGGGATTTAGGTTGCTTCCAACACTTGGCTATTGTAAATTGTGCTGCTATGAACATTGGGGTGCGTAGGTTCTTTCGAAATGGCGTTTTGGGATTCTTAGGGTATAGTCCTAGCAGGGGAATCACTGGATCAAAAGGCAGTTCCATTTTCAGCTTTTTGAGGAAATTCCACACTTCTTTCCACAATGGCTGCACCAGTCTGCACTCCCACCAATGGTGTACTAGGGTTCGCTTTTCTCCACAACCTTGCCAGCACCTGTTGTTTGTGGATCTGTTTATGATGACCATTCTGACCGGTGTGAGGTGGTACCTCATGGTGGTTTTGATCTGCATTTCTCTGATGGCTAGTGATGCTGAGCATCCTTTCAAATGCCTCTGGGCCCTATGTATCTCCTCCTTGGAAAAGCGTCTGCCCAGGTCCTTTGCCCACTTTTAAAATTTTATTTTAATTTATTTTTTCAAATACATTTGTCTCTGCCTACTCCCCACCACTTTCCCTTGCCCCCTCCCTCCTTCCCTCCCTCAGCTCTTCCCTTTTGATTTTGTCCATGAGTCCTTGCTATATGTTCCTTGACTTTCCCCTTCCCTTCCTTTTCCCCGCGCCCCACTCCTTCCCTCTTGTCTCTGTTGATTTCTTTTCCTTTCAGTGTTGCTGGTCTTATTTTCCTTGCATCTTTGTATTGTTGGTTAGGTTCCGCTTCTTCAGATCTTATAAATCTTTCGCCTTTGCCCATTTTTTGATTGGATCGTTTGTCTTCTTAGAGTGGAGTCGAGTGAGTTCTTTATATATCTTGGAGATCAAACCTCTATCTGATGTATCATTAGCGAATATATTTTTTCTTATGGTTGGCTCTCTTTTCCTTTTTCTGATGTTTTCCTTAGCCATGCAGAAGCTTCCTATTTTGATGAAGTCCCACTTGTTTATTCTTTCTTTTATGTCCCTTGCTTTACGAGACATATTGGTGAAAAAATTGCTGCGTGGGATATCGGAGAGTTTCCGACCAATGTTCTCCTCTAGGACTTTTATGGTGTTGTGACTTATATTTAAGTCTTTTATCCATCTTGAGTTTATTTTTGTGTATGGTGTCAGCTGATAATCCAATTTCAATTTTTTGCATGTAGCCTGCCAGCTCTCCCAACACCATTTGTTGAAGAGGCTATTTTTACTCCACTTTATGCTTCTGCCCCCAATGTCAAATATTAATTGACCATAGAAACATGGGCTTATTTCTGGGCTTTCTATTCTGTTCTACTGGTCTATGGGTCTGTTCTTGTGCCAGTACCAGATCATTTTCATTATAGTGGCTTTGTAATATAGTTTCATGTCTAGTATTGTGATCCCACCTACTTTGTTTTTCTTTCTAAAAATTGCTGCAGTGATTTGAAGTCATTTATGGTTCCATATAAATTTTTGAAATGTCTGTTCTATTTCTGTGAAATACGTCATTGGCATTTTAATAAGGATTATGTTGAATCTGTAAATTGCTTTGGGTAGTGTGGATATTTTGATAATATTAATTCTTCCAATCCATGAGCATGGTATATGCTTCCACTTATTTGTGTCTTCCTTAATTTCTTTCTTCATTGTTGTATAGTTTTTCTTCAATGTTATATAATAAAAATGTTATTTTAATGTTTATCTCATAGGATATGTTCAACATTTGTCTTTCAATTTTTGATTTATGATTGTGTTTTTGGTATAATATTTTCAATAACCATGAAGATAACTTGTACAACAAATTGGCTTTTTGGTTCCTTGCCCTTCTTACTATTAACATAATTTTCCTTTATCTTTTCATTATCTCCCATTCCTACCAACAAACCCTATAACATTACCTATAATTTCTCTATTTCCATAATCTTTGTTTTCAGCATCGCCCTCCACCCAATACCCACACACTTAATACATTCTATCCCCAACCCACAATCTCTAGTGTGCCATCTCTAACATGTCTTCAACTTCCCAGGATTACTTTTTCCATTGTCAATTAATACTCTCTACATCCTCCTCCTCCTCCTCCTTCTCCTCCTCCTCCTCCTCCTTCTTCTTCTTTTTTGTTTTTTTTGCATTTAAACCATCCAACCTGTGGTATTTTATTACAACTGCCCCAGCAGACCAAGACACATGGTAAATAGTATTGTATCAATGTTATTTTTCGTTTTACTAATTGTATTATAATTGTGTAATATGTTTACATTCGGGGAAGCTGTGAAAAAAGTATACAAGAGTAAAATGCATGGCTTTTGCAACTTTTCTGGTATCCCTGAAAATACTTAAAAATAAAAATTTTTTTTAAAAGATCTAAAATTATTACCAAGCAACATCATTTGTTAAATCTAAATACTATTCTAGTTAGTTTTTATATTTTTGTGTATATTTTAAATGTGGATCCCTTCCATGAAACTCTCTCTGATGCACCATCTCAGGTGACAAGACAAGGGGCTGAAAACTAAGATATGCATCACAGGTCTATCTAGAGAAAGGTTAGATTCTCACATCTCCCCATCCAGAAACCTGAACACTGTCAATATGGCTGCTATATAGGCAAGGAATGGAAGTAAATCCTCTGAAGAAATTGAAATTCCTCAGAACAAAAATCTATAATGTAAGAAATACTCCCCATGCATACCCTCAATGACTTATATTCACAACTCCTGCCACAATCACAACTCCTGCCACAGAATTCTCAGGATTTTAGTAGTAGGCTCAGGTGGGAAGCATGGATAAAACAAATGTGTTAATCAAGAGAGTGTTCTGGAGGAAGAGAGATGAAGGTGTATCCAAACGAGTATTGTGATAAACTATAGAATCTAAGCCAATAGTCTATCATAATACTCCTTTGGATACACCTTCATCTCTCTTCCTTCAGAACACCCCCCTGATTAATGCACTTTTTTCCCCATGCTTCCCACCTGTGCCTAAGCAGCTTAATGTGATTTTAAACAGAAGGCACAATCCTGCTGACTTATTTTCCCTTAAATACAGAACCACCAATAATCAGCCATGCCAGGCAATCCTCTTATACTTTCATAATCAATGTTCTCCCATTCTTGATAACCACTATGTCATACCTTCTCTTTTTCCTCAAACTTCTCCCTTCTTATTCCTAATATATAATTCTGATTTATATTTCACTGGGAAAATAAAAGCACTCATAAGTAAATTCCTTATTCTACTGCTGTATGTATTAACTCAGTCTCCTCTATATTTATGTACTCTGCCTTCCCCCCAGCCCATCATTAATACATAGTTCCTTATTTTATCATATACAGGATTCTCCACTTGTGCAGTGTGTGCCAGACTCTTTTTATTTCTCAAAAACTTTGCTCCATCATCAAAATTTCCTCCAACTGTGTCATTCCCATAAATATGTAAGCATGTTATAATATATTTTACCTTAAAATAATAGAAATATGGCCTGATTGTTTCCTCCTTTTGCTACACTGTTCGTCTCTCTCTTTTTTACTTCACCTCATTTTATCCTTTAATTTTTTTAAAATTTATATTACAGTGTTTCACTTTTTTGATATTCTACCTATAATTTTTGACAAAGTTTTAGTGTCGTGCAACCACCAGTGCAATCAAAATACCGAAAATTTTCATCACTTCAATGGAGCTGGATATTATTATGCTAAGTGAAAAAAGCCAGTCATCAAAAGACAAATACCATATGATCTCCCATATATATGGAATATAATGAACAATATAAACTGACAAAAGAAATCAAAACAGAAGCATTGATACATGGAACAGACTGAGAGCTAGCTGTCAGAGGGGAGTAGAAAGAGGAAACTGGATAAAATAAGGTGAAGGGATTAGCCAAAGAACAAATATGAGTAACCCATAGACACAAACAACAGTGTGATGATGGCCAGAGAAAAGTGGGGGTGACGGCGGCACGGAGGTAGGTAAAGGCAAGGGTGAGTGGGGATATTTGTTATTGTGTAAGCAATAAAAATGAAGAAAAATAGTTTCCTTATGCCCTCCCTTTATAGTCAAAAACTCCCTCATTTCTAACTTCTGGATGTTGCTAAACTGTTCTAGGTTTTTAAACTTCTGTATCCTTTCTTAAACCCATTTAAATAATTTTTTAGTTCTCCCCATACCATTAAAACTGCTCTTGTTTATATCATCAACCACTTCTAAATTGCCCCATCAGGATTACTTTTCATTTCTCTATTTGAACTCTCAGGAGTATCTAAAATGTGATTTTTATGTTAGCCTTTATTAATTCTCTTCTTTGTCCTGAGGAACTAATTACTCAAATAAACATTTAACATAAAAAAAGAAGACATCTCAAACTAAATATACACTTTGATAGATAACAATAAGATAATATTTATTAAATGTTAAATTCTAGGCACTAGGTACTAGTCTACACATTTTATAGATATCAACTAATTTAATTCTTACAAAGCTCTGTGAAGCAGTTCTGTTAAGGAATCCAAATCATAAAGAAATGAAGGATTTCTCTCAGGTTAACACAACTTGTAAGAGGATGAGACAAAATTCAAATCTATGGTAACTGGCTGCAAAGCCCACATTATCCACAGAATTTACAGTTCTTAGTAATTATTGTATCTTGAGCAAGAATCTTTCCACTATTCTTCTCTGATTATTGCTACCATGAGTCAGCTTGTGCAAGCTGGATCATTCAGGCCTTCGAGAAGACAGGATGAAAATGAGGAGCTTATAGAAGGGAGATGCTAAATAGTTATAAAACAAAAGAACTTATTGGAAATTGCTTTTATAATCATAAAATTAATTATGTTTTACTTTTTGGGCAGGCATTTTGTGGGTGATGTGGAATGTGAGAAAAAGAATGGAAAGAAGAAAATGGAAGAAAGGAACTGGAAAATTAGGAGGAAAGGAGGAAAAGAGAGAAGAAAAGAGAAATAGTAAAGGGAAAAGGAAGGGAAAAATGTAGGAGAGATAAGAGGGAAGTAAGCTCTGTTATTGGGGAAACTCTTTGAAAATTTAAACTTTGTATATGTTAAGTATTTGCTGCTCTGTACTGATTACTGCTGAATTCTCTTCCAGTTCCACTCTGTGAACCAACTGGTGAGTTGCACTTCCCTTTCTTCTTCATGGTCTGTGGGGTATCTTGACATGGGACCAAAACTAGAGGCCCGTGGATGACTGTCTGACATCTGGTGACAGCTACTTAGGTATACAAATAACAGTGGTTCCTTTGGGGGTTAAGGCTGCTTGTGTTCACACTAGTTTTTACACCTGATATTTCCCTGCTTAGCTGAAGGAACAGGTGTTGGTCTGACTTTCTCAAGACCACACTATTTTTGTTCTGGGAAGTCCCAGCTTAGGGAGGAAGTTGCTGTTTGAATACAGAAGATGTGGGTGCCAAAGACTGATGTTAGAAGACTCTCGCCTCTCCTAGCATAATGGGCTATAAGACCCCTGTTTTTCCTCAGAGGCTCTGCCAAGAGTGATAGAGAAAATGGAGAACAACATTATAGTCAATCTTTGGGTCTGTACAAAATAAAATAGCGTTGCTGATTCTTTCCAATTTTCAGCTCGGCTCTGGTCCCACCTCAGTTACACAAGTGTGATTTCTCTTTTAGAATCTGATTTATGCAAACTTATTTCACTGTTGTGATCCTCATTTAAAGTTGTTTTTTTTTTTTAAACTTGATGATGAGAGGAGGCAATTTTCTCCTAGAAGAAATATTTCACTGAAATCTGTTTAAATCTAATATGGGTCAGAATTTTTTTTGTACATAAAATACTAAACACAGAATTAACAAAAGTTATCCTGTCACATCAAAAAACACAGGCTACATATGCAGCTAGGGAACACAAAATTAGGAATTCTTATGATGAGACATATTCAAAACCAACCCTGCCTCTGGGTTCCTCACCTGATGTTTATCTAACTCATGCCTTGTGTTAATGCCATGATCTCTTGTGCCTGGCTCTATTTTTACTTCATAAATGCATGCATGTGCCTAATCCTAGCCTAGGCAGAAATCCAAAGCCACCAAAAAGGTGACAAAAGAAATGTTCTGCCACCAGGAATTTGCCACGTAGTCTCTATGCCTGAGAATTATTTGAAATAAGCTCTGAGCTGTAAGAATGAACTCTAAACTCTTGCAAACTGCTCTTATGTCCTACTCCATACCCAACTCAGCTTCATTCAGAAAAGTGGGCTAAAGGTGACTAGATACTTTTTTTCTTTTTCTTTTTTGCTTTGACCCTAAAATTCTACTGCTCCTCAGTCCTCTGGGGACTATAACTTCACAAGGATAGATAGTTACTCTAATGTGCAGGGCATTCCATGCTCTAGCACAAAGGAAATATTCTAGTACCATTCTGGAACTGATTTTTCTTTTAAGTTTTAGGGTAAAGCTTTCCAATAAGAAGGATTATAGATATTAAACCAGAATAACCTCTCAGTGATCTAGTACACTTGGAACTTTAATGTGGTGAATTAAAAAGTTGAAGCAGCACTAGCTCTTTAGGTATTTGTTTATTCAACAATCAAAGTTGCTGTTATTCTGAAAATTTTAAAAAGTTTCCTAAGAAAAACTCCTTTCTTTCTTTACCATAAGGAGATGAAGTGAAAGCAGAATACAACTATAACCATCTTTAATTCATAAAAAAAGCCCCTAAGACCAATAAAGGATACATTCCTGAGGTTCAAGACATGGATTAAATTTTCTCCTTATAAACATGACTTCTAAAGGGGTTTGCAAAGAAGTTTCATAGCACAAGCTGTGTAGATGTGTGGTTCCAGGGCATTTCCAGGCAACTATTATGCATAGAGAGAATCAATAAAGAAGACATTGAGTTTCTATAAGTCTTTTTCAGATTGACAGATCCTCCAAGTCTCATATTCTGTCTTTGAAAGAAATAGTCTGAGACATTAGGGAAAAGGAAACAGAAAAATATAACCAATATGGCTTACAGCAAGGATGAATAAGATAGGTTCACTTTTCTTAAAACTTCAAGATTCATCATTTCCAATGCCAACTTTGATAACAGTTGTCAATATTCCTGCACTAACTCCCCAAAAATGTCTTCTTAGTTCATGGATAGAAACTTCAATGAGTAAGAAACAAGCCAAAAGTAAGTATTGACTTGTGGTAAGAAGTGATGTTACAGGGGCAGGATGTGTTGGGAGTGAGCAGTTGACAAAAGAAAACCCATTGTCCATATGTGGGTGGTGATGTAAGAGATCATCTGAGTGTGCATTTGGCTGCCTCTCAATCTTGTTTCAAAAGCTGAGAATACAAAGTGACTGTTACCAGGAACTCTAAACTTCATTGCCCTGGAATATTTGTTTAATCCTTCTCTCTAGTGCTGCTTTTGATAGCCAACCCTTCTATGCCCATAGAGGGTAACTCAATGACCCTGACTTGTAAGGCCCAGCTCCCTCCAGAGAAGTTAGATGTCCATCTCCAGTTCTGCTTCTTCAAAGATGGCTATGCCCTGGGGCTGAGCTGGAACAACTCTACAGAGCTCCAGATCCCTGCCGTGAGGAGGGAAGAAGATTCAGGGTCCTACTGGTGTGAAGCACAGGCAGCTGAAACTAAAGTCATAAAGAGCAAGAGTATCCAGATATATGTGCAGAGTGAGTGCAAGTGGGGGACCCTGCTGGGGTGGGCTTAAGGAGGGCATAAGCTTGGGTTTTCCCTACAGGTGTGTTCAGCTCCTGCAGAAAAAGGTACTGTACTTGAGTTTCTCTATCAGAGTACTTAAGAGATTTTCCTTTATTCTTGTTATTCCAATTCAAGTAAGCAGAATAATATTTAGGAAACTCTTGCTATGTGTCTTCCCTCTCCTGGAGAGTGTCGGGGAAATATCTGCATATTACATGTCCCTGATTACAAGTAACTGATGCTCAATCAATACTTTAAACAACTAGGGTGAAATATTGGTGGTGTTGCATGTATATGGTTGACTATTGATAAAAATTCAGAGGAAAGAAATATGACTGAGGTGGTAAAAGAAGGCTTTTTGAATAGATTATTGGGAAAGGGCTTATGGAAGAAATACTGGGGCCTGGTTTTTAAAGATTAAAAAAAGAGCATTTTGTGATTCTGAATCATGTTATTTGAAGTCAGGATTGATGCTTCTGATATCCTCTTTCACTATCAAAGATGTATCAATTGTTCCATAAAGCAAATGTTCTCTAGAAACCTGGGCTTTCCAAGACTTGCTCAAAACTCAGCATTGGTGAAGGTGGAACACACACGCACACACACACAGAATCTAGAAAGCAGGCCCTGTTCTAGCACGAGTTAGAACCATCATTTGAACCCAGAGAGTTTGATCTGTAACCTGGAATTTTAATCACTATGCTTTTATGCCTTGTAAAATGAGAGTTTGAGATATCAGGGTTTGGGGAAAGTCCATTGTCCTAGGGAGGGAGGTAATGCTGCATCCTCTATGGTAATATTATGGTGCCTTTCTTACCGTACTACCATCGACCCAAACAATGCCAATTCTAAGTCAGCAGAAACATTGCCCACCTCTCCCCATACTTTAATATTAAACTATATAAATTATTGACTTTATCCAAGCCCTTTTCTTTCTGGATGGTTGCACCAACTCTCTGTCCCTGAAACTCTTCTTACCCAAGAGTTCTCATGTGTTATTTTGTGTTTGTGCAGGAATCCCTGTCTATAATGTGAGCTTGGAGACACAGCCTCCAGGGGGACATGTGATGGAGGGAGAAAAGCTGGTTCTTGTCTGCTTGGTCCCTGGGGGAACAGGAGACATCACTTTTCTCTGGTACAAAGGGGTTCTGGGCTTAAACCTGGAAACGAAGACCCAGCGTTCACTGACAGCAAAATTTGAGATTCCTATGGTGAGGGAGAGTGATGCTGAGAAATATTACTGTGCAGCTGACAATGGCTATGGTCTCAGTCTCAGTGGGCTAGTGAGCATCACAGTCAGAAGTAAGTTTAACTACCCTTCAGTTCAATTATCATGTCACAAATTGGGCTCCATGTTCCCTTGGGACATTCTGAAAAAGTTCAATGAGGCTGAGCCCATGTGGGAAGAGATTATGAGTTTGTCACATTATCAGAGACCCTCTTAGACATTACACTATCTCTGTCAGTTCCAGTGTCTCGCCCAGTTCTCACCATCAGGGCTCCTGAGGCTCAGAATGTGGTGGGAGATGTAATAGATCTTCACTGCGAAGCATGGAGAGGTTCTCCTCCAATCTTGTACCAGTTTTATCATGAGAATGTTACCATGGGAAACAGCTCAGCCCCCTTTGGAGGAGGAGCATCCTTCAACCTCACTCTGACTGCAGACCATTTTGGAAACTATTTCTGTGAGGCCAACAATGGCCTTGGGGCCCAACGCAGTGAGGTGGTGATACTCAACATCACAGGTATGGAACATTCCTGGTCAATGTCTTTTTTTCAGCTGCCTGGGAGAGTTTTGTTGACATCACAGTGCTGCTGCTGCTGTGTTTTCAATGATTGGATTTTAGTGGGTGGCACTGACCTAAGAAATGTATCTGAGGGGGTATGGAGAACATAATGACTGGATGCATCTTTTCTTTTATCATTTGTGAAAAGCTGCAAGTCTGTAGATAAAAGTTTCACTACCCCCTCTCCCTGCAAAGAGCAGACCTTGGCCACAATGCACACTCAAGATGTCTGCTCTCTAAATTGAAGCCCTTCTCATTGGCAACTCATGCACAGGTTTCTCTCCTCAGTGCCCCCAGAAGACAGAAGAAACCTTACTTCAACACTCTTTGAGTGGTTGCTTGGAATCCTGGGTCTCACCACTATGGTCCTATTATTTTGCTGTTGGCTCAAGAGAAAAATAGGTTAGTATATATAGAAATTGTTAAGTTGTTACTCTGACCTTTGTTTTCAATGAAACAGGCTACATTTGTAATGCACATACAATAAAGAATGGACATATCTTGTTATTGACCCTGCTACAGATTAGCTTAGAAGACTCATCATGGGAAAGGCACATATTAAAGTAGTGCAGTGTTGTAAGTAAAGTTCTATATCACCTTTGTATTAGTAGTTAAAGTCCAGCTTATATCTAGTGCTTATGTGATTTAATTTTTATTAAAAAATATAACTATTTAAATAACTAATCAGCTACTGGAAGAGAAATACATTTACAGCTCCAGCTATACTGACCATCTCCCAAATAAAGTCAATGTGTCAATTCTTACTCACCTTAGAATTCTTATTACAAACTCATGCTTCACTCACCCCAAAATGCTTGTCCATATATCCATACATTCTATTCATTGCTGGACCTCTTCCACCTTGTGACCTAAATGTCATTCTTTTCCAACAAGCTTTACTTGGCCACACAGCCTCTTTTTCATTGTTCTTCATCAAAGTACAAAGTTTCAAATTTTATCACAATTGGTAACTGAATTTTTATTTGTATGTTTATTATTGGTTTCTTGTTCTCCATTGATCAAGCTGGAGGTGGGGCAAGAGAAGACAATGTGAGATTCTTATTTAAATCACATGCTTTTTCTGCATCTTTGTGCACCTCACCCCATCTATGATGTCGTTGAGGCAGTGCTTCCTTCTGAGGGATATTGTTAAGATAAGATTAGGTGGTGTAGTTGTAAAACCAGAAGCAAAAATATTGTCAGTATAAGATTCAGAGGCTTGAGCTCAAGTCTTAGCTTTGATATTTATTATTGTTGGGAAGCTCACTTCTGGGCCTGTCTCTTCACCTGCAAAATAAAGGATCTGCCTGAATGACTGCCAGGATGTCCTTTGGGCATACAGTGACATCTTGTGGCAGGTGTACTGGCATGAAAAACATTCCCTGCACAAGGGCTACATCAAAACACTAAGAAAACGCATTCCTCCACTGATATGTGTGCTCGTTTGTTTGATTTTCAGGAAAACATTCGGCCAGGGATCCATTCAGGTGAGGCTTCTGCTTTCTCTGTCTGTGCTGACAGTGAAGAAAAAATCTATTTAAAAAATTGAATTGTCCCCTCTCCATAGCTTTCTTCATATTTTTGTTATATCCAAAGCTTCCACTCCACAGTTATCTCACTAATAACTTTGAATATTCATTTGCTATTCCTCTTTTTTTATTTAAATTAATTCAAATACTTTCATCGTTCTTCCTAATTTACCTCTTTCACTAAATATAAAAAAGAAAACTAAGTTACTTTGACCCATTTTATGTATTAATTCAATCAATTAACCAATATCTGAGGGTCTATAAGCCATTCTATTGAGTGATGAAAGGCATGAAAATACATAAAAATCTTGAGTGCTTAAGAATCATAGAATAGTTAAGCTATATACACTTTTCTGTAACACAAGCTAGAGAGTAATAAACATACTGAAATTTTTCATAATAAAGTTCTTTAGCAGTTTAGAAGTGGAAAATATTTTTGAATACTTCAATATGAGGATACCAATGTTTAGTTGATATATTTTAATAGTGTGTTATTGTTTATGTCAACAAAAAATTTTTTCTGCCCAGCAACCTCTTTCCCATCTTGAGTCAATCAGTATTCCTTCCTTTCATATCTACTGAGCATCTGTAAAATAAATGGCACTGTTACGGGTGTGGGCAATACCACAGTAAGCCAGCCAGATAAGGACCTTACATTCATTGAGTATATACTCTAGTGATATTCTGGGCATATACATGGGCTTTACTCAGCCCATGTATAGAGCTGGGGCTTGTACCATACAACTGTATTGATTGCTGATTTTCCCAGAAATTACTATTCTATAATATTAGTACTATTTCTAACTGGTTTCTCTCATTCAGCGTCTTGTTCATAATCCCAGATAATGTCGTCTGGGGCATCTAAAATGCTATCCCAGGTGGATAGCATGTGTTTCTGTGTTTTCAGGAGCCCTCCCAGCCCTGTACTCCAAGGATCCACATATGTCAACTCAACTTCTCCAGTGCAACTACAGCCTATATATAAAAATGGTGAGGTTTCCCAAATAACCGGGAACAAAGTAGATAAAGTGACCTGGGGAAGAGGTAACGGGATGTCTGCTAGTCAAACCTGACCCTGTTGTGATCCAGCCACCTCTGCAAATACAGGAATCATCTGTCTTCATGGCTATGATAGGTGGTATGTATGAGCAAATTAAATTTCGGGAACAAGGGACTGTGTCACAATGCACCCTCATTTCTTTTTCAGTGAATGCAGTAAATGGAGAAGAGGTTTATTCTTTGGTGTACTATATGCAACAGCAACAGCAATCAGCAGCAGGTAAGACATGAGGGAACAAATTTGTCTCTCAATTTTGTCCTTCCCAGAGCCAAGAAGTGGCTGTGCATAGCAGCATTCTTTTGGGTTGCTGCTTCTACCTTCGGATCTGACTATTGTGCCTATCTAAAAACTGGACTTTTTTCTGGGACCTGCCTTGAGTAGAGCCCAGTGCTAATGCTAACTTGGCCTGACTATGGAGTGTATATCTTATTCTGCAATCAGGTAGAAGCATTGGAGATGGTGGCTTCCACCTATCCTCTTTGAGTAACCGTATGTACTCCCTACAACACCCCAACATAGCTACCTAGTTGTTATTGTTATCCTATCTAGTACATGGTAGGCCCAGAAATGCTGAAAGGTCTAAATGTTAAGTGGGACTTACTTACCATCCCATCCCCAGGTTGCTAATTTTTCTCTGCATAATAGGGGAATTATATTTGCGACAGACAGAAAAGTAAGATAAAACTATTAATGTAAATAAATCAATGGGAAATAGACAGGAGAGGGAAAAGTCTTTTTATCACTGATTTAGTGGAAGACATTAGGTGTAAGTAAAATCTCATAGCACGTACCTTTTTTTTCCCCCCACAGTAGAATCCCTGAGTACACATACTGAGGATAAGGTGAGTTAGAATCCCTATTATTCTAACATCCATACTCTTTCTTCTTGGGTCTGGTTCTCATACTTTTAAAATTATGACCACTTAGGAAAAAACAAAAGATATCATGGTCTATCTTCTTTACTTTCTCATGCAGTAGGCATAAAAACATTTAGTTATAATAGCAAAGCATCACTGTAGAAGAAAATTTTGGAGGCTTACATATACATATCTTTTTTGTTTGTTTGTTTATCTGTTCATTGTCTTTCCTGTTAGAAAGTAAGCTAGATGAGGGTAAAATATGGCCTTGTTTACTCTTTTATCCCCAGTGTTTGGAGGGTGCCTGTGTGATAAAATAAAGTAAAACAAAAACAGACTAAGAGACCTAACAACATAATGCACTGTGTGATTCTGGACTACATCATTTTTGAGTGATTTGGGAGTAAACTGGAGTATAGTCTAAAAATTCTATTAAAAAATCTTTACACAAATATTCTTGAGCCATGTATACATAAATTTATTTGATAAGATTAACAAAACAACACATAGAAATATAATATGCTAAACAGTGATTTTTGTAATTAAAATTAGTAATTTCTAAACTGAACAATTCATGACATCACTGATGATACAAAAATGTTTTTATAAAATGCAAGGATTCTAATTCTTCATGTGTGCAAGGACATGGGTGTTTTGTAATTTTGTCTAGTGTGGTGTAACAGTCAAATGTCTTAGTAAAGTACTCAAGTCCTTGGTAAACTCCATTCCAGTGGCATGCTAAGTTAAATGTATGAATACAAAATTCTGACATTATTTTAAAAAATGACAGCCTATAGAACTGCCTAACAATGGCCCATAAGAATGAGAGAAGGCTTTTCATGTTCATATCAGTTTGCAGCTCATCAGAAGCACCTCTGTAGCCCACCATTAAAGTGCAGACCCTTTAAAAATGCTTGCTTAGGGCCACAGACTTTCAAGAACCTCTAAGTCATGTATTGCAAGGCACACCATAATAAGATGCATTCCTGTTGATTGGGAAATAAAACTGATGGGAGGCATGTTCCACTCATCTTCCCTGCTCTGGCCCTCTAACCCTGTACCTTTGCTTCTAGGACTCTTCAGTCATCTATTCTGGACTGAAGAGAGCAATCCTTAGAGATGAAGACTATGAAGATGCTATGTAAATTTATGGAAGAGTCTGATTTTTGAAACCATTTATGACCTTATGTCTCGGAACCAATATGTTCTTCAGAGATCCTGGAGAATAAGCTTTCCAGCATACTCATATAGATGCTTTCTTCCACAAGACTATTTCTATGTCTACTATAAAAAGAACTTGGCTCAATTCTTGAAGAGACCACCCAGGAGGATCAACATGAATGTAGGAGTGGAAAGAACTTTGTTACCAAAACCCAATTCTTAGTGGTTCTTTTAGGCACAGGTCAAATTTCTCTCTAACATCTTTTTCTAAGAGGAAACAAGACCGGAAAAAAGAACTTAGGATCTTGGGGTAGAGAGACAGTGAAGCTTGGGGTGCACAAAACCTAAGGTTAGTGATTTCATGGGACTGTTCCATACAGAGAGCTGTGTATATCATTTTGTCCATGTGTTTTTTTCAGCTCAGACAGTACTGATCTCTAGCTCTATAACTTACATTAGTTATCCTGTTTCTCCATAAAATATATTGCCCATAACACCTGGAGTCACTGTTACCAAATTAGAAGTAAAACAAAGTTATATCCCTGTCTAGCTTGGCTCAGTTGGTTGAAGCATTGTCCCATACACTGAAAGGTTACAGGTTTGATCTCTGGTCAGGGCAAATACCCTGGCTGAGGGTGCGGTCCCCATGGGGTGTGTGCAGGAGACAAAAAATTGATGTTTCTCTCAGATTGATCTCTCTCTCTCTCTCTCTCTCTCTCTCTCTTATTTCTCAATAAATGTATTCTGTGTGAGGATAAAAAATAAAATAAAATTTCATAAGACATTATTGGAGTTATACTCAATTTTATTTTTATGCACAGATCAGCTTAGATTTATAATGAAATAATGTGTTACCACAGCCAATATTCTGCATTTGTTGCAGCCTCATGAAGGTTTATGAATGTAGTTTTCCTTACTTTATTCACAAATGTTTTGATAATATGATAATATGACTTTAAGTTTTTATTTTTTCTTTTTTTTTTTTTTATTGTTCAAATATATTTGTCTCCATTCTCCCACCACCACTTTCTCCTGCCTTACCCACCTCCACCTCCCACCCTCAATGCTTCCATACTTTGGCTTTGTCCATAGGTCCTTTATGCATGTTCCTTGATTTGATCCTTCCTCTTCTTTTCCCCATTAGCCCCCTTTCTCATTCCCTCTCATTATTATAGGTTTGCTTTTTTTTTTCAATGTTGCTGGTTATATTTTCCTTGCTTGTTTGTTTTGTTGATTAGGTTCTACCTATAGGTGAGATCATATGGTATTTGTCTTTCACTTCCTGGCTTATTTTTCTTAGCATAATGCTCTCCAGTTCCATCTATGCTGTTGTGAAGGGTAGTAGCTCTTTCTTTCTTTCTGCTGTGTATTATTCCATTTTGTATATCTACCATAGTTTATTGACCCACTCATTTATTGATGGACACTTAGGTTGCTTCCAGCACTTGACTATTGTAAATTGCGTTGCTATGAACATTGGGGTGCATAAGTTCTTTTGAATTGTTGTTTTGGGATTTTTAGGGTATAAACCCCAGTAATGGAATTGCTTGGTAAAAAGGCAGCTCCATTTTTTGCTTTTTAAGGAAATTCAAAGTTATTTTCCATGGTGGCTGCACCAGTCTGTGTTCCCATCAACATTGCACTAGAGTTCACTTTTTTCCACAGCATAGCTAGCACTTGTTTGATGGTCATTCTGACTGGTGTGAAGTGATACCTCACTCTGGTTTTAATTTGGGTCTCTCTGATGGCTAGTTATGCTGCGCATCCTTTCATATGTCTCTGGGCCATCTATAGGTCCTCCTTGGAGAAGTGTCTGTTCAGGTATTTTTCCCATTTTTAAATGGATTGTTTGTCTTTTTGGAGTGGAGTCATGCAAGTTCTTTACATATTTTGGAGATCAAACCCTTCTCTGAGGTATCATTGACAAATATATTTTCCCATTCGGTTGGTTCCCTTTTCATTTTGCTGATGTTTTCTTTAGCCATGCAGAAGCTTCTTATTTTGATGAAGTCCATTTGTTCATTCTTTCCTATGAGTTCCCTACTGTAGGGGACATATCGGTGTAAATATTGCTGTGCAGAATATCTTAGAGTTTCATGGCTATGTTCTCTTCTTGGACGTTTATGGTGTCATGACATATATTTAAGTCTTTTATTAATTGAGTTTATTTTTGTGTTTACTGTAATTTGGACATCAATTTTTTTTTTTTTTTGGATATAGCTGTCCAGATCTCCCAACACCATTTGTTGAAGAGGTTATTTTTACTCCATTTTATGTTTCTGCCCCTTTGTCAAATATTAATTGACCATAGGAGACATGGGCTTATTTCTGGGCTCTCTATTCTGTTCCATTTAGTGTACAAAATGCCTTCAATTTCTGATTATTGATTCTGTATCCCAGTGTTTTGCCAAATTCACTTATTAGGTCAGGTAGTTTTATGGTGTGATCTTTGGGGTTTTCTATGTACAGTATCATGTCATCTCCAAACAGTGACAATTTTACTTCCTCCTTTCCAACTTGGATGCCTTTTATTTATATTTCTTGTCTGATCGCTATACCTAGAACTTCCACTGCTATGTTGAATAAAAGTGGTGAAAGCGGACACCATTGTCTTGTTCCTGATCTTAGTGGGAAAGCTTTTTTTTTTTTAGCCCATTGAGTATGATGTTAGCTGTAGGTTTTTCATATATGGCCTTTATTATGTTGAGTTATGCTCCCTGTACTCTGGCTTTGCTGAGTGTTTTTATCGTAAATGGATGGTGTACCTTATCATATGCTTTTTCTGCATCTATTGATATAATCATGTTTTTTGTCTTTCCTTTTGTTTATGTGAGATATTACATTTATGAATTTGAAAATATTGAACCATCCTTCCACCTCTGGGATGAATCCCAATTGATCATGGTCAATGATCTATTTACTGTATTGCTGGATGTGATCTGCCAATATTTTTGTTGAGGATTTTAGCGTCTATGTTCATCAATGATATTGGCCTGTAGTTTTCTTTCTTTGTTGTGTCTTTATCTGGATTTGGGATTAGGATGATACTGGCCTCATAAAAAGAGTATGGAAGGCTTCCCTCTTGGATTTTTTGGAATAATCTGAGAAGGACAGTGGTTAGTTCTTCTTTAAATGTTTGGTAAAATTCTACTGTGAAACTGTCCAGTCCAAAGCTTTTGTGGGCTGAGAGTTTTTTGGTTACTGCTTCAATTTCACTAGCTGTTATAGGTCTGTGCAGACTTTCTGCTTCTTCTTCATTCAGTGTTGGAAGGTAATATTTTTCTAGAAATTTGTCCATTTCATTGAGGTTTTCTAATTTCTTGGCATATAATTGCTCATAGTAATTTCTTACAAATCCTTTGTATTTTTGTGGAATCAGTTATAATTTCTCCTCTTTCATTTCTTATATTATTTATTTGGGTGCTCTCCCTTCTTTTTCTTGTTGAGTCTGCATAAAGGCTTCTTGATTTTGTTCATCTTTTCAAAGAATTACCTTCTGGATTTGTTGATCCTTTGAATTCTTTTAGTCTCAGTATCACTCAGTTCTGCTCTGATCTTGATTATATTCTTCCTTCTACTCATTCTGGGCTTTGTTTGTTGTTGTTTCTCCAGTTGTTGAAGCTTGCAAGTTAGGTCATTTATTTGAAATGTTTTTATCTTTTTTAGGTAGGCTTGTATCACTAAGAACTTCTCTCTCAAGGCTCTCTTCACTATGTGCCATAGGTTTTGGGGGTTGTGTCCTCATTTTCATTGGTTTCCAGAAACTTTTTGGTTTTTCTCTTGATCTCATTATTGACCCACTCATTGTTTGTTTGTTTTTTTGGTTTAGAATTGGCTTTTATTTCTTCAGCTCTGAGAGTTACATCTTAGCATATTAATTTCTCATTAATTGAATATTTTTCTTACATTTACTGTTTTTACTGTTTTTACTTTTTCAAATACATTAGTCTCTGCCTTACCCCCCACCACTATCCATTGCCCCCTCCCCTCCAACTCTTCCCCTTTGGTTTGGTCCATAACACCTTCCTATATGTTCCTTGACTTTCCCTTTCCCTTCCTTTCCCCCTGCCCCCCCTTCCCTCTTGTCTCTGTTGGTTTCTTTTCCTTTCAGTGTTGCTGGTCTTATTTTCCTTGCATCTTTGTATTGTTGGTTAGGATCCACTTATAGGTGAGATCATATGGTATTTGTCTTTTTTCCCCTGGCTTATTTCGCTTAGCATAATGCTCTCAAGTGCCATCCATGCTGTCACGAAGTTTAGAATTTCTTTTTTCCTTTCTGCAGCATAGTATTCCATTGTGTAAATGTACCAACTTTTTTGATCCAGTCATCTACGGATGGGCATTTAGGTGGTTTCCAACACTTGGCTATTGTAAATTGTGTTGCTATGAACATTGGGGTGCATAGGTTCTTTTAAATTGGTGTTTTGGGATTCTTAGGGTACAGACACAGCAGAGGGATCACTGGATCAAAAGGCAGTTCCATTTTCAACTTTTTGAGGAAATTCCACAATTTTCCACAATGGCTGCACCAGTCTGCATTCTCACAAACAGTGTATTAGAGTTCCCTTTTCTCCACAGCCATGCCAACACCTATTGTTTGTTGATCTGTTTATGATGGCCATTCTGACCAGTGTGAGGTGATAACTCATTGTGGTTTAGATCTCTATTTCTCTGATGGCTAGTGATGCCGAGAATCCTTTCAAATGTCTCTGGGCTCTCTGTATCTCTTCCTTGGAAAGCATCTGCCCAGGTCCTTTGCCTTTCTTTTTATTAGATCATTTTCCTTCTTGGAGTTGAGTTGAGTGAGTTTTTTATATATTTTGGAGATCAAACATCTATCTGATGTATCATTAGCAAATATGTATTCCCATAAGGTTGGCTCCCTTATCATTTTGTTGATGTTTTCTTTAGCAGTGCAGGAGTTTCTTATTTTGATGAGGCCCCACTTGTTTATTCTTTCCTTTATGTCCCTTGCTTCAGGAGA